TTTTGGTCTATTAAGCACCTTTTGGGCCCCCAAGGGGGGGGGGGGGGGGGATTTTTCCCCTTTTTTTCAATTTGGGGATGAGTTTTAAATTTTCCCCAATTTAAAAGAGTTAGCTTACTGCTTTGGGGCCGTTTCCCAATGTTTTTATTGGGTTTTTAAAAAAATTGGAAAAGTTTTTGGTCATATGATAGGATGTTTTAAATTCCATTGAACCTGTTCTCAGTTAAAGGGCAAAGGGATTTTAGGGGCCCGGGAGACCCACACTAAACGAGGAAATCCGGCAATTTTTTGGGGTTGTGTCTTTTGGGACCCGGAAATTCATCCCTTTAAATTTTCCCCCATTGCTTTCCGTTTTAAACCCCATTGCAAAAAAGTTTTAACCCAAAGTATTGGGAAAGGGGTGGGAAAATAGAAAAAAGGGTTTTCCCGCTTCCCTTTAAAAGGTAGGTTTTTACCGGGGCCGCCCCTTTTGAAATTACCGATTTAGGGGCAAAATATTTTATTTTTCAGAGTTGAGCTTTGTTGTTGGGGGGGATCTGTATTACCCTTAAGAACAAGGGGAGGAGAAATTTCCGTTTGCTTTTGCCAATAGAAAAAATTGTTACCAAGAGAAAAGAATTATTCTTTTAAAAAGAGAAGGGGTGTTGGGATTGTTTGGGCAATTTCTAAAATTTTACAGAAAACTTTGGGGGTAAGGGGAATTTAAATTTTAGAGAAGTAAACCCGCCGCTTTTGGGATCTTAACAAAGGGAAAAATTAAATAAAATCTAGAAAAATGAGATTTGGGCTTTTCTTTTGCAGCCAAAACGGATGAGGATTAGAGCAATCCCGGGTAGAGAAAAAATAGGTGCAGATAAATTTTAAAAGGGGTATAAAGTGAGTGTAGTTTTAGTATTTATGGTGGGTTTTTAATATGGTTACAGTATTTTACTTAAATTTTTGCAATTTTTCGTTTCACTTTTTTTGTATTAAAAAAAAATTTTCAATTTTTTTATTTAAAGGGGGGGGGTAAGTCACAAAATGAAAAACGTTTTTAAAATCTTGCATTTTTATTTTCACGCCGAACCTCTTTTTATCTATATTTATGTTGAGATTGCATCACTTTTTGTTCAAAATTTTTGAGTTTTCGGGTTTTAAATTATTATTTAGAGTTTTTTTTTTTGGGTTTTCATTTTAAAATTTCCCTGTCTCAAATTTTAAACTTTTGCCGTTTTTTTCCAAAAATCCCTTTTTAATTTTAAAAAGAAGGGTTTCATTTTTTTTTATTAAAACCCGATAAAATGATTATATTGTAATTTTAAGGGCGGGCCTTTTTTTTACATAAATTTTTTTCCCGCCCGTCTCGCTTTATTTTTGCAAAGGCCCGAGCACGATCTTTTTCCCGCTTAGTATCAGTAGTTTCTTTATATTACTAAATTTTAATAAATTTGCAATGCACGGGCCCTTAACAGGTCCCCTATGACGGGGGGACAGGGCAAATTATTAAATTTTTTCATAAAAATTTCGCTTTTACAATAAATTTTTTTTCTAGTGATTTTTTTCATTAAATTTTTTCATTTGTTAAAAAACTTTTTCTATTAGAATTTTAGTTTATTTGTTCAGGTTTTGTTATTTTGGCAGAATTTTTTTAAATTTTTTAAAATTTTTTTAACTCTTTTTTTCTAGTGTTTCGCTTTTTGCAAATTATAAACCCAGACATGTTAATTTATGTATGTTAATTGAATTTTAAATTTAAGATTTGGAGCCCCTGAAAAATTTTTAGATTATAATTATATAAAATCTATTCATAAATAATTTTATTATGGTTCTACCGTATTTTGTGCAACTTTATGTAAAAATGCTGCAGTATCGTAATGATTGTTTTTAATCAATTTAATTTACGTTATCATCTTACTTCATTTCATTTTATCATCAGTTTTTGTTATAAGTAAATACAACGTATCAAAACTAACGTATCAAAACTAACGTATCTCTAGAGAAGGATCTTCAGTGGCATGATTTTGGAAGACGTTTATTTATTGGTGGTTATTTATGTGGCGTATATTTGAATATATTTTGAAACGCCAGTATTATGCGGATGTGATTGAATTTTTGTTCCACGGAAGTGTTGTGGGTACTATAATGGACATTTTGTTTATTCAAAGAAAGCACGTTATTTTATTGGAAACCGACAAAAGGTCGAGTCTTTTCCAAGGGACTTTATTATATACCCTTATGTTTGATTATCATTGGAACTTATCATGTTTTTATACTTTGTAAGCTTCTTATTTGAGGACACACCCGAAGATGAACACGGGCCCTCCACACGTTGCATGGCTTAAAGGGGGTTTACGCTTTTCCCTTTTTTTAGGATTTCCCATCAATTGCCAAAACTGTAGGTTTTTCAGTTACCCCTTGATAAATTTCATCAAGGGGCCCCCCATTTTGACGAATTTTTTTAACAACGCCACCCCTTTATTTTAAAATCATACGAAAAATTTACGGGAAAATAGACTGAGTTCGTTTTAGGTTTGTTTGTGCAGGGGCTTATCATAATAGGGTTTTTTCATTTTTCAATCATTTTTTTTTTATAAATATTATTTTTGTAAAAAAATTTTTTTAATTTTTCTTTTGAGTTGTTGGTTGTTTTGATAGCCAAATTTTTGGGCGGGGCCCCGGTACCATCGGATAGTCCCTATTGTGACAACACAACACTTATTAAATAGTCTGTGATTAATAGTGAGATCAAATCCCGTTTTAAGCCTCACTATATTCAAAAATGTCTTGATACGTATAGCCTCTCACATAATACATAGTTATGCATTCATCCATTGTTGATAAAGATTGTACAATGCGCATGTCCACCGGGAAGGCGATGGCACGATTGGTGATAAACGCGATGGTACGATGGTAAATCGCGATGGCACGAATGGTGAAAACGCGATGGCACGATGGTGAAAGCGCGATGGTACGATGGTGAAATCGCGATGGCACGATGGTGAAAACGCCGATGGTACGATGGTGAAATATCGCGATGGCACGATGGTGAAAAACGCGATGGAAACGATGGTGAAAGCGCGATGGCGCGATGGTTTGCGATGTTACGATGGTGAAAACGCGATGGTACGATGGTGAAATCACGATGGTACGATGGTGAAAACGCGATGTAACATCGCGTTTTCACCATCGTACTATCGCGCCATCGCGATTTCACCATCGTACCATCGTGATTTCACCATCGTACCATCGTGTTTTCACCATCGTACCATCGTGCCATCGCGTTTTCACCATCGTGCATCGCGGGTACAGAATAAATAAAATGTCACGATTGTCCAAACGTGTCCAAACGGAACACCGTAGTTATGTGCTCTTCCTTAACTTAAATATTGATAAAAATTGGTTCTCGATGATTGTTGCCCTAACAGACGAGTATTAACACCGCATCAGGTGCTCTCATTTTCAATAACCGTGGAAATATTGTCCAAATTCTGTTTTTCTAGAGGCCGTTCCTAGACTGAAAAAAAATCATGAATGTCTTCGCTATGTAACAGCGCACTTTGGGGTCCAACGCAGTTATTTTTCGGAAAAAAAATCACCTCTTTTGATTTTTCTGATGTGGCGGTCATTTCAAAAAGACGGTTTTTGTGGTACATAAAACAAAAAAACATTTTGTGGAACCTGACAATAATCCAAAAATAACGTGTAATATTTCATTGATTCAGAATATAAATTGTCTCGTGTCGTAAATTAACGTTCACATTAAAGTTAGCTCGTATTAGCTCATTTTTAGTTTAAAGATGGCGGCCAACATGGCCACAAATAAGTCTTATCGGACATATTTAAGTATATTTAAGAAAAGTTTTAATTTACTAATAGCAGCAGTTACCTTAATTTGAGGTCCAAATATTTAGGAATATGAAAAATTGTGAACTTGATATGAAGTTACAGCTGTAGCGCTCGCGCAGCTTGACTATAATATATGTTTCTTCTAACTTGTTACAGTCATTTAAACAAAAAAATGAAATGTTTGACAATGAGATGCATTGAGCGAATATTTACTGCATTTTATAACATCCCCATCATAATTAAAATGGGGGTCAATATGGCACCAAAACCTATGTTGAACAATGAGATACATTGAGGCAATATTTACTGCATTTCATTACACCCCAATCCAAATAAAATGGGGTTCACTATTGCACCAAAACCTATCAAGTAAATTGCTGACAGAACAGAATATTCTTCGTAATACCTGTTTTCTTTTTATCACAAACACAATATCATTACTACTAGTAAACAGTCACGATTTTCAGATAGTTTAACTGGTAAAATTCATTAAAATATTAACCACATAAGCAACAAAATATATATATTTATTACTGTTACATCAAAATTGAAATGGCACTAAGTGATGAATCTAAATATCGACCGTCATTGTTTATATGTAGCACATTAACACAATTTCTCGATTCTAACCCCAAAGTGCGTTTGACCCCAAAGTGTGCTGTGAAGTTTATAGCACTTTGCGGTCAAACGTTCTTTGTGTTACATCGCTACTTGACTAAAACTGACTTGGGTTGGCCATTATTCAGGTATGGAAAGGTATACCTAAAGAAGACTATATTGAAGCAAAACGTCTGAAACTTTGTATTTCTGTATGGGGAGATTATTTCGAAAGGTTGAAATAGAAAATTGTAAAATATTAGTTCTTTTGTTAAATTTTTGTCCATAGTGCATAACATATTTACACACCCTCGTACCTGCTCGAAATAATAACCAGAATGTTATGACATTATACCACTTTAGCGTATTTTCGGATTATTCTTTTATACAGTAAAAAGCGTTGTGTCATATTTATGTGTACCATATATGTGCAGTACATGTAAATAAAAACAAAACGTGTACAGATGCACAATACTGTCATATATGTAAAGTCATCATTCATTCTTCAGTTACCGTATCCATTTTACCAACACTTAATTCCATCGACTTTTATTTGTTAGTGCTGGCAGAAGAGTATATAAGCTCATACACGGCAAAAGAAGTTGCAGAAACCAATAACGGCTCATTTCCGTACGCGAATTTTCAGTGACAACCACTGGAAGACTCTCTCCCTGATTAAAAACGACATTAACATGTGATGAGGGATCTATTTTGTAGAGGAATGCTAGCTCTCTATGGAATTAACTACAGAAATTACATGTTGTGCTTAATGAAATAATTATGACACAAACATGACACGTGTTCATATAATAATGACAAAAATAACAAATTAATTGACTGGTACAAAAGTAAAGTGAACATGAACCGTTTCTTATTTTTTACAGCAAAAACTATCAGATGTTGAAATGGCTTCAATGGATTTGTTTCAAATACTAATACGGATACATATACTTGTTTACATCTCTATTATAAACGGTATGTTAACTATTCTTACTTTAAGACAAACAAAGAATATATATGCATACATATAATAATTTCTAAGATGAAATTTATATCCAAAGATAGTCGCATGATATTCTTTTTATTATGTAACACATTAAATAAGTACAAAATTCAAACTAATATACTTTTAAATATTTGTAGAAAGAAGCAAAAAAAATGTTTTTGAAAAAAAAATCCACTGCCCCTGAAATGTATACAAAAGAATGTAATTGAAGTTCTTGATGCAGACCTTTTCTTAGTTAACACGGGGACTGGGGTTTAAATCAAATCGTGATTTTGTCTAAAATACGAGTATTGTATACCTTATTACTCAATGTGAATAAAATACCAATGTTTCTCACGCATATTAGTACTTTTTATCACAGTCTATCGCGTCTGTTGAACAAAAACAAGTAATAGTAGTATTATATATTTATTTAAGAAGAAGAAGAAGAACATTTTTTAACAAACTAGGACATTTGAATGAAAACATGATGGTTAATATATGCTTTTCTATACACAGTAAAAAAAATCATTTGTTTGGAAATATAAGGCAAACATTAAAGTTTGTATAATTACATATACATATGATCTAAACATTTATAATCTGGTATTGTAATTTGAAAGCTTCTCTTACGAGGGTAGGTCAATATGTAATGCAGTCTGGTCAATAATTATAATAAAAGAGGACATACTTTACAAATTTTCATTTTCAACCCTTCGAAATAATTTCCTCAAACAGAAATACAAAGGTTCAGACGTGTAATCCAATTTTCAACTAACATAACTTTCTTGACACTGGTCCTTGGCAGCAATGCATGGTCGACGAACATTTTTGATGTCCCAAATCTTTTGTTACACTTGCAAACTGACGTAAAATAGTTAAACCAGCTTTCATCACCAGCCACGGTATTAAACAAACGGCGACTATCATATTTATTTAGGAAATATTTTCAGTATTTTCGAGGGCACTTAACTTGCTACTTCTTCTGGTAAGATGTTAACAAATGGGGTATCCATCTGGCACTTATTCGCCTAACTTTCAAGTGATTCTTTAGAATGAGTCGACCCTGCGATATGAGCTATCTGGGTAAGTGAAAATCTGGCATCTTTGTTAATGATACGCTTGACTTTATTAATGTGTTTGTCAGTACTATGGAGCGTTTTCTCCCATACTTACAGGCATCTTTAATTGACTCGTGCCCGTTTTGAATTATGCATCCACTTTGCAACAGTTGTAATAAGCTAGTTCAACGTTTCCATAAAATTATTATTACAAACATTTATAGCAGATTTTCCTAGTTTTTGTTCGAGCTTTTATATAAGCCCGTATATAAGCAATTTTAACCGAGCCATATTTTACATGAAGTTACTCTTGTAATGTGAAATCTTTATACACATGATTATGGTATCATTTGAAAGTATATCCTTCGAAGCATAGCATAAGTTACAGAAACACAGGAACCACGAGCTTATTTAGAAAATAAAATATATATTGCATTACCTATTGACCCATCCTCCTATATAATGAACTTAAGCTTAAACATTCTTGGTCTATTTTAATAATATAGATATAAAATAAACTTAAACATTCTTGGTCTATTTAAATAATATAGAACTTTCTAAATATATACAATGTACATGTATATATTTCTAAAATATTCATATGCAGGACACTTAGATATAAAATGGAACCCATCCTCAATTTCATTTGTATTTTAAATAAAAAAATATCTTAATTTACAATCGAGTCTTTTATTTTGAATATCTACCTACACTAAGGTTATAAGCTGGAAAACGCAGTTATAAGACTTATTGATACAATATTTTCTTTAAATAAGGTGCCATTCCAAAATTGTCTTGAACCGATTTTTCCAAAACAATGCATCATTAGAATTAATACTGGGTCTCCATTCTGGTACATATTCATCTAGCAGTCTCCATCTATCCGTTCCATCTGTAAAGATTATTGACAGTTTACATGGGTGGATCAAGCAGGGTTTGACCCCAAATTGTCCAAACCGATCAATCTCTGTTTAAAAAACAACTGATTAACACTAAAAGGGTTTAAACTATACCTCCAAAAAGTCAAATTTTTCTACCTGCATTTGCAAACAAGTTTGTATATCCTATGTGCTGATATCAGACATTATATGAATTAACAGTTGAAATCATAACAATGTTACTTGAAACAATTATCTTAATTCATCTTCTATTTCTGACACTTTTGACTTTTGTGAAAAATTGTAAAATTTGGTTTCTTCTTTCTTTTTTTGGGGGGGGGGGGGGTTGGGCAGAGACTTTTTCCTAGTCTTAACTGAGCAATCTGATAATAAAAATATTTTTTTATCTATAACTAACTTTGGTTTAGCTTTAAAGAAACAAATTTTTTAAAATACAGCTAAAGCACATGGTTTTCATCAACAAATAAATGTAATATTTATATAAAGACGAAGTGAAACTTGACAATTTTAATAGATAAGACCTGTCAGTAATTCGCCATATATAACTTTACAGTTCGACGAGAAACAATATCGATATAATACATTAGGCTCCTTCAGGAAACGTCAATAATTGGTATATCATCAATGTCTGTAAACACATTATGTACGAGCCTTAATGATTAAAATACTCTTGATACATTTACATCTAATCATTTTTACACAAAACTTTACAAAAAGAGAATGCCAAATTGTACATATGTATTTATGGGATAATATTTGCGCCATTGTTTCTTAGCATTTCGATGGTAATAGTAGATTTGGGTCATCCCTTTCACTTACCAAAATGAAATATTTGGCGCTTTGTGTGCGAAGCAATAATGATCATAATATTACATGTATTCGTTTTTACTGTTTAAAACTCCTATACATAATGCCAATACATTAGCATAAGTTCTGCATATTTCTATATTAATTTTACTGATAAACATCAACTTAGCAGAGAATGTAAATGATACATTTTTACCGGCCGAAAGGCCGGTCTGTCTTCAGTTTGACTTTCTGTAAAATATACAGTGAAGAACTGAATATAAGAAAAGTTTTCATTGGTTATTTTAAAAATGACAAAATGAAATCTGAGAAATCATCGGCCATTCTAAACTAAAATGTAAAGGATAGTTCTTGTCAATCTAAGGTAGTTCTAAACTAAAATGTAAAGGATAGTTCTTGCCATTATGAACTAAAATGTAAAGGATAGTTCTAAAATAAAATTTACAGGATAGTTCTTAAACTTTCTAGTTAAATTGCTGAGATGTTTAAGTTTTGTTTAACAATACTTCTTGTATACAGATCCCATTACATTTTATAGTGAACAGTTTATTTCACGTAAGAACTTAATGAGTTTATTTTACACAAGATCTGAGTTTTAAATTTTGTCCGAAATAACAAGCATAATTATTAATATCAGAACTTTTCAGGTACCCTTAGTTTATAATGTTCAATGTGTGTCTAATATTTTATATGATTATTGATGTGTTCAATTGATATGATGTTTATATTATATATATATTTTTGCATAATAATCAAGTAATTATAAAAATAATTGCCTTACCGACCGCATAGATGTTGGTGTTAGAACTTGAGTTTACTTACCGAGACACGACATGTTTATTTAGAAACACGTACATCTTAATGTGTTCAATTTTTCAAGATTAATAAACCTACAAGAAATGTGTACGTCATTGTTATGCAAGCTATGTGTAAGTTAACCAGTTTTTCTTCGCCAGAGTATCTTGGTAAAAGATACTTCTTGTTCTTTTCGTTATATCTGATCGTAATAATAATTTGGTTGAAATAACAAAAACTGAAGGAGAAAAATAAGATATAAAAATATAAAGGGAATAATAGTATTTCAGTGATATGTCTTGTAACTTTAAGGAATGTATAAAATGAACACACTACATTGCGTGTTAATAAAACTAAACCAAACATTGTAGATGCGTTCAGACAGACATTTATTGCATTATGTCTGTAAAATAAAGGACTAAAGCTAAGCTACAATGAACAATATCTAATTAACTTACGTACAGATGACAATAAACAAGGGAAGAATAAAACATGTCGGTAAAATTTCTTATAAGAAATAATTGACTATCTTAATAATTCATATAGAACCGACATAAAATTTCACATCGTTGAAAACTTTAACATAGAACTAACACGATAAAATTTTAGGATGGTATACCGTTATACAGCCTGATAGCATTTAATCAGATACTGACAAAATAATTTATTTCAAATGGTATACCAATTCACAGTTTGATGATAAATTTAAGAAAAACTAACTTTATGAAATATTAGAATAATGTATCTTTTACACAGCCTGATTATATCTTAACACTGACAAAGTGAAATAATGAAATTGTACACAAATTAATAGCTTCATGTCTGACATAATGAAATATAAATTTGTAAATGTAAAGTCATAAAAAGCCTGGTTAAACATGACAAAGAACTGACATCATGAAATTATATACCAATTTTTAGTTTGATCATATTTTCAAAACAATGACATATGAAAATATAAGAATAACTATGAATTAAAAGGTTTTGTAGGGGGAACAACACATCAAAACACCTCGTATGATATATTTATTTAAACTACCGGTTTCGGGTAAGATATATCATTTCCATGGTTTTCATAGCAACTATATAATAATGATATATAATTACACAATGTGACTATATTTAATCAAACTGACATAATCTATGATAAATTGGTCTACTTAATCACAGTTTGATGATATTGAAATATTGAAATATAAGAATTATATAACGTGTAAAGCCTGACTATATTAAATCATAAACTGTCAATCAAACTGACTGAATGAAATGGTACACCAATGTTCAGTTTCACTGACATATTGTGAAATATTATAATCATATTATACCTTTTTACTACGCCACTTTGTTTATTATAAAACTTACATAATGAAATCGTTTACCAATTCACAGTCTGATTGTGTTTAAACTGATACAATAAAATGCATGTGT